GATTTAGAAGATGGTGCATTAAGAATGTTAGAAGTAGATAACAGAGTTATACTTCCAGAATTAACACATGTCAGATTTATAGTTACTGCTGCTGATGTAATTCATTCTTTCGCTATTCCAGCTTTAGGTATTAAATGTGATGCATATCCAGGAAGATTAAACCAATTTTCTGTTCTTATTAATAGAGAAGGAACATTTTATGGACAATGTTCAGAGCTATGTGGTATTTTACATAGTTCTATGCCTATAGTAGTAGAATCTGTATCATTAGAAAAATACTTGTCTTGATTACAAGAACAATAATTTAAAATGCTTATAAATATAATTATGTTATAATAGTTTTTTAGCACTTTATTTTAATTGTTTTTTCGTCTCCTTAAGGGGAAAGAAAAAAATTAAAGAAAAAAATAATATCATGAGTAGTGTTTTGTGGTTGTCTTTAAGACAATTAATCGTATAAAATTATTAATTAAAGTATTGTAGATGATATACGATGTAAATTAAATCGGTTTTGTCTAGAGCCTAAATCGAGTATTGTGTTTATTGAAATAAAAAAATTTTTTAAAATGAAAAATAATTTAAAATATAGTACATTATATAGTGCAACTTTACACAATGCTTTGGCATATGGAAGATTAAATGATAACGTTGCGCATACTAAAGTTGGTGTGTATTTAGTAGTATTTAGAATAAAAAAGATAGTAATAGATTAGTATATAATCATGTATATTATCCTGATATATTTACTAACAGTTTATTAGCTTTATGATATTAAGAAAACTACTACTACCGAGGATCATGTTTCAATTACTTTTTTAATAGATTTAGGTGTTAAAAAAGATTTATTTAAGTTTTTTAGTACTGTATTTAATAAAGGGAAGGACGAATTTTTACAACAATTAAGAATTCCTACAGATATGTATATTTTAAAAGATTGTCTCTTTGTTCTACGTGACATTCATGTCACATGAAATAATTTAAGAAATATGGGTTATATTGTAGATAAAGGTCCTAAAACTTGCAGGGATCAAGTAAATTCTAGGAGTAGTTTTTTAATTGTGTGGATGAACAATATAGAACTTGTTTCTATAATCTTCATCTAAAATTTGTTAATACAGGTATTCTTTCCCCTTGTTTATCTAGATCTAAGTTTCATTTAGAAATATACATATGAAGTTAGGTAATGTGAAAGATTAAACATCTAGATTTATAAAATTGAATTTTGATTCTGTGTTAGATTAAAAATCTCTTCGTAATAGACAACAATTATTTCAAACTAATTATCGTTTAAGAGGTGATATTATATAAAAAAATTATAATGTAGGTTCTCGATAAGTTAAAAAACAAATTGAACTAGCTTTACGTACTAAAGAAAATATATATTCTAAAAAGAATCTAATTCAAACTAAAATTATATTTTACGAAAAGAGTTATGTATTCATACAAAAAAATGTAAAAGACGGGTGTCCCCTCACTTTAAGGTGAGGGGACATCAGACAGTTTAAATGGAAAATTTTAAATAATAACACTTAAACTATATTATGTGATACAAGTTGTTAAGTGTTATCTTTATAAAATAACATAGGGAAGTCCGGAGCTTTATAGATAGATCTTTATCTTATTATTTTTATCCTTACCTTTTTAGGGACAAGTGGAGAAAAATAAATAGATAAAAAGGGTAAAAACCTTGGTCTTTAACAGAAATTAAAAGTCATATAACTTAATTTTTTAAATTAAAGATATTAAGTATAATAAAACTGCGAACTGCAAAGCCTCTATTAAGCCTTATTTTAGATTAATAAACATAAACAGGAACCGGCTTAATTGTATCCCATTAACACATCTGTTTTGCTTAAGCTAATTTAATCCTATTTTGGCTTTTGTCCCCCTTTTTCAAAAAAATAAACAGCTTATTATATTAATAATAAAAAAGTATAGCCTTTTTAATTATTTTTTCCTTTTCTTTTCCCTAAGGGGAAGGGAAAAAATATCATTTATTAACACAAAATATAACAAAGAGCAGCTTTTGATCGTGATACTTGGATTTATCTTAAAGATAAAGAGCGTTATTTCGGAAATAATTTAAGAGCTTTACAATCAGTTCGTAAAAACTATTTAATGAACAAGTCTTCTTCTAGTAAAGCTAATCAAACAGAAGCTGGACCTTAAAAAAGTTCAGATTTTCCTAGTAACCCTTTAAAGAGATCTTTAGAGGATGAACCATCTAGTGGAAGTCATAAAAAAGTAAGTATAGGTCCAGATACAAAAGAAAATATCAGGAATGAAAGTCCTCTCGACTATGCTTTTGACAAACAAGCTAGTGATTATCCTGATTATTCAGATGACCTATAATAGAATAAGTATAGCATTATCTATAAGATAATAATCTAGTATAGTTGATCAGAGATAGTATAACTTATCGTGAATGAGGTGATAATTTGACTATTCTAGATAAAGATGTAGTCGGTTTATATAATAAATATACATTTCATTAGTTATTTTAACTTTAATATTAAAGATGTAGGTAATTATTATGATTTATTAACTTTATAAGATTTATTTAAACGTCTAAATTAGATTGTAAATAAAGAGTCTATGCCTTACCTTTTAGATTTGATGTATAGGAAATCTATATAAGAGTTTATGAATACTCTTCTTAAGGATTTTGATATGAAAACAGTATCTCACTTATGTGATAAGTAATAGTTTCATAGATAACTATATTACATTAATGAAAAAATCTGTTTTTATTACTAATGATATAATATTACTTTGTAACTATTTAAAAGAGAAAAATTATGTTGTAAACAAGGTATATAAAATATGAAGGAAGGGGCAGAATCATTCTATGAATAGCTTGTTATCTCATTGAGATTTAGATTTTAGGGAATCTATGTACGAACATTATATATCATCTAAATAAAGGTAATATAAATATAGATGTACCTAGAAAAAGGTTTTTTTAATAGTATTCATCTGAATTTAGGAAAAGTCAGATGATAATTCTCCTACAAATGTAATACCGCTATATACTAATATAATATATATATATAAGCATGTGTTTATCTATAATAGGATATATTTTATATATATTGTAGTAAACAATAAAAAAAATATTATTATATTTTATAATAATGATGGTATATCTTATATCATTATTACAATAAAAAAATATTGAGTTTGATGATGGCTCTGATTGAACGCTGTCCAAATGCTTAACACATGCTAATCGTACGTCAATAATATCTTAGATAATGTCTTAGATAATGTCTTAGATAATGTTGAAGTGGTGTACAGGTGAGTAAATGATATTTTGGCTGCCTTAGAGTAAGGAGGAAAATCCCTTATACGGTATAAGAAGCAAAGCTTGTGCTAAAAGAAAGAAAGAAAAAATTTCGCTTTAAGATGTTAATTTATATCTCGGATAAGTAGTAGTTAAGGTAATGGCTTAACTAGCTGAAGTCCGTAGTCGAGACTTAGAGGTTGATCGACCACATTGGGTCTGAAAAAACCCCAATACGTATAGTACAGCAGTGAGGAATATTGGTCAATAGCCTAACGGCTGAACCAGCAACTTGGAAGAATGTATACCGACTATGTTGGATAAAGTTCTAGATAGAATAATGATGATGACAATTTTCTATCTATAAGTCTTGACCAATTCTTGTGCCAGCAGTCGCGGCAAGACAAGTAAGACTAGTGTTATTCATCTTTAATAGGTGTAAAGGGTACCTAGACGGTAAATTTAGCCCCTAAAGGGTACAGATTTTACTAGAGTTTAGTTGTGAGAGGTATATATTAGTACTGTTAGTGTAGAGATAAAATTCTTTGATAGTAATAGGCACCGATAACGGCGAAAGCAGCCCTCTATGCGAAAACTGACGTTGAGGGACGAAGGCTTGGGGAGCGAATAGGATTAGATACCCCGGTAGTCCAAGCAGACAATGATGAATGCCATAGATTAGTCTGTAATTAGTCTATAAATGAAAGTGTAAGCATTCCACCTCAAGAGTAATGTGGCAACGCAGGAACTGAAATCATTAGACCGTTTCTGAAACCAGTAGTGAAGTATGTTATTTAATTCGATGATCCACGAAAAACCTTACCACAATTTGAATAATAATTATATTTAATTATATACATGCGTTGCACGGCTGTCTTCAGTTAATATCGTGAGATTTGGTTAGATCCATTAAATTAACGTAAACCCTTACTTTATTTATAAAATCTATCCATAAAAATAAAGTAGTTCTCCGCTATATTGGATAAGATAAAAGGGACTAAGACAAGTCATCATGGCCTGAATATTGTGGGCTATAGACGTGCCACATATGCCTTTACAAAGGGATGCAAAAATGTGAATTTGAGCTAACCCCCTAAAATAGGAAATAACATTTATTGTAGTCTGAAACTCGACTACATGAAAAAGGAATTACTAGTAATCGTGAATCACCATGTCACGGTGAATTTAATCTCAGATGGGTACTAACCACTCGTCAGGCGCTGAAAGGAGTATGCGCAATAAGTTTGGTGATTGTTAACTTATAATTTAAGTAATTAGGCTTAAAGATGTTTTCAAGTAATCTTCGTATGCGTGACACTAATTGGTGTTAAGTCGAAATATGGTTCGTGTAGTGGAAGTTGCACGGGATTTATGAATATTAACAATACCCCCATTCTCCCCTTACCCTCAAGGGATAAAAAAATATATAGGAAGGTCCCGTTTGTTGGTATGACGGGTTGAGCTGTAAACTCAATAGCTAAAGCTATCAAAGGTTCAATTCCTTTTCTTCCTATAATTACATGTTTTTTCTTATGTAATAAAGAATTATATATATATTATATTATAGCCTTTATAGCTCAACGGTAGAGCGGAATACTGTTAATATTTTGATAGATGTTCGATTCATCTTAGAGGCTTTTACATGGTTAATTTAAATTGTTAAAAAGGATTATAATTAGATCTATAAAATTTATTATCACATGGGATATCCCATATAAGCGCGTTAACTAAATGGTATAGTGTTGTGCTACGGACACAATAGTTGCAAGTTCAAATCTTGTACGCGTTTTACTTATATATAATTTTTTGAGTTTTTCTCATATTTTTTAATTTTTTATTTCCCATTTTCCACCTTCACTTTTAAGGGATAAGGGAGAAGAGATAGGTAATAACGAGGTATAATAATATATAGATAAAAAAGATTATAAATTTTTGATTAGCTCAATGCTAGAGCACGATCTTCCTAACATCTATGTCCTAGTTTAAATCTAGGATAAGAATATATTTTTGGCATTTAAATTAGATATTACATATTAATTACATATTACATTATCTATTCTTTTCATAGATACAGTCTTTTCTTTATCATTTTTTCATAAAAATAAGCAAAATGAGATATTTATTATAATTATACATGTCTAATTTTTTTAGATAAGTTATTGCTTTTATCTTTACATTGCTGTTTCCCTTTATTTATTATTATTTGAAATACTGTATGTAATTATTTTAGGTTAAATTTAGAGAAAGATAGGGCGGCTATAATAATATCTCTAATAAAATATTCTAAGCTAAAAAGGAGAATGCTCTATTTGAAGAGAAGGAGAATGCTCTATATGAAAAAGATAATTAAAAAGAAATACAGATTTTAATTTATACATTACATTCTCTATCATATACATAACTATAATCTTTTCTTTATAATTTTTTTAAGAATAAGAAAAATGAGATATATATTTTATATATTTTATATGTCTAGTTTATTTCTTTTAAATGAAACTTTTACCAATGGTTACTGATCTGAACTCTTGGATTTTCTTTCTCTAGCTTCAATACTATGCGGAATTTTCGTTATTATTAGTAAAAACCCTATTGTTTCTGTTTTATTTCTAATAGGTTTGTTTTTAAGTATATCAGGTTATTTAATAATGCTAGGAATAAACTTTATTGGTTTATCCTATCTATTAGTGTATGTAGGAGCTGTATCTATCTTATTTCTATTTATTCTAATGTTAATAAATGTTAGAATATCTGAATTGTTAAGTGATACTAGTAATAGTATACCTTTAGCTATATTATTAGGGATTTCTTTTAATTATCCTGTATATCAAATATTACCATATAGTGTTGCAGCATTTAATAGTTATACTGTTAATTTAAATAATTCTTTAAATGATCTTTGATATAATAATAACTATAGTGACTATTTAAATAAATTTTTTAATTTTTCTTCTTTTTTTCATGAAAAAAAGATGAAGATAGCGGAGTAATAGCATTTGTAACATCTAAAACATGAGACGGAAGCTTAGCAGAAACTTCTCATATAACTAGTATAGGTAACATAATGTACACTAGTTATTCTATATGACTTATAATAACATCAATAATTTTATTATTAGCGATGGTAGGTGCAATAGTTATAACAATAAAACAAAAAAGTTAAATCATTTTCTTTTATTAATAAAAAAGGAATTAGCTCAATTGGTAGAGCATCCGTTTTACACACGGCAGGTTAAGTGTTCGAATCACTTATTTCTTAAGTGTATAATGTAATTAAAAAATTTTTTTATTACTTATTATATAGAGAGATCTTAGCTTAATGGTAAAGCATGTGACTTTTAATCACTCTAATGCGGGTTCAAATCCTGTAGGTCTTAACGGCTATAGGTTAATGGTAGACCATTCGTCTTCCAAACGATGTGTACCGATTCGAATTCGGTTGGCCGTATATTTATAATAATACACATAGAGTTAGTAACTTAATTGGTAAAGAGCTTCCTTGTCGAGGAAGAAGATGCCGGATCGAGGCCGGTCTAACTCGAATATAAGAATAGTGTATTATAGGTAAAAGTTTATAATGTTATATGTTACAAGGAAAAGTTGCTATGGGTAAGGCGAGATATTTGCTAAATATTGTGTTTTTACACCTGGATGTTCGAATCATCTCTTTTCCGTATATTTATAAGGGTATTTTTGTATCCCCTTTCTCACCCTCACCCTTAAGGGATAAGGGATATAAAGAGTATAGTTTAATGGGTAAAACGGGAAATTCCAAACTTCAAATTATCAGTTCAAGTCTGAATGCTCTTGTATGTAAATTAGACATAACACTTTATACACATCTATCCTTTATCTCTTCTCCTTATCTCTTCCCCATGTCCCTTCCCTTTCCCCTTCTATAGATAAATATGTAATAGCAACTGTGGTGTATAAAGAGTATAGTTTAATTGGTAAAATAGGAAGCTTCAAACTTCAAATTTCCAGTTCAAGTCTGGGTGCTCTTGTGTATATAATTCTTATATCATTTTTCTGGTTTTTCTCCCTTAAGGGTGAGATTTGCTCCTTTTTTTAATTTCACTTAGGTAGAAGGGAAAGGGACAAGGGATAAGTAATAATGAGGTATAATAAAAATAAATCATTTGAGGTTATTTAATTTAACTGGTAACGTGCGTTTTTTAACCTAAAAATGTTATTCAATATTGGCCCCTTTAAAGTAAATATATATGTTAAAGGGTTTGTCCCCTATTAAAGCCCGATTAGTAGAAGAGAAATATGCTGTTTAATTAACAACATAAATAAGTGCGAATCTGACGTTTGGCTCTTAGATTAGAATTATTTATACAGGAAGATACAAAAGGTAGTAAGGCGATTTCCTGATGAAAATGCTTCATATAGGTATTAGCATACTTCCCTACTGTTGTCATGACACTACCCAAGGTTGGGAGCGGGCTTAATACTTCCAGTACTACAATAATAAATTTAACGGTATATATCTTATAAAATAGGTTGCACCTTCATACTTTATTTCGCCCTAAAATATTTAAAAGTATCTCTAAATTTTTCGCTTTAAATCGTTGCTGTTTTTAGCCCTTACCAAAAACTAACTTTTTTATATGTATATATAATATATATATTAAATATAAAAAATATATATAATATATATATAGGTTCCTTAGCTTAATAGGTAAAGTGTACTTTTGATAAGAGTATGTTCGACGTTCGAGTCGTCGAGGAATCACATGTTTATTTTTAAAATTTGAGTTTTATTATCAAATGCCGTCAATACAATACAAGACAAGATAAATCAATAATTTCTAGATTAGTTTTTGCATTTTTATTTCTGTCCTTTATTTTTCATTGACCAGTATGTCCTGTTTTTACCACAGTACATTTAAGATTATACTTTTCTTTAAGAATATTATTTAAAAATTTACAATCTTCATATGTAAAACTGTAGGTTGCAAGGTAAACACCTTTATAGTAACCATACTGCATTAATCAGTGAGCTAAACCAAGCGGTGTTATAAACTCTCCTATTCAATTAGGGACTTTTTTACATTAACGCCATTAATACTAATATAGAAAGAATCATATATTCATACAAAGTTTGAATAAGGGATTATTCTTCTTTTTACAAACTATTATTTTGTAAATTTCTTCTAGATAGATTATCAAATTATATAAGGTATTTAAAAAAAATCAGGTAATGCCTGATTAGAAGCAACTGAACAATTTATACTAATGTTATAAAACATGGATTATAGTAAACAAGATTTAGAAAATTATGTGAGTTCTTATAGAGAATCCCCAAATTTCCCTTCAATATGGATTTGTAAAATCGAAGAAATAAAAACTTAAAAATTAAATAATAAAA